TCGGTGGGAAGCCTGCTTCTCCCTCTCCCACTCCCCCTGCTTGTGTTCCCTCTCTGTGTCTCTCTCACTCTGTCAAATAAATAAATCTTAAAAAAAAAAAAAAAAAGGCTTGGGTCAGCCCAGAAGGCCGTGCCCAACATGGAGGCAGGGAGTATACTTTGAGGGCTGGTGCCCAGAGGCGCACCTTCTTGTTGTCATTTTAGGGAATAACAGGCTGGAACTTTCTAGAAATGTAGTTGTTTGGTGTGTGGAAAGATGACAATGGGTCCTGGCCCAGGGGGAGCGTGTCGCCCTCAGAATACAGGCCGTGCTGTGTGAGGAGCTGTTCCCTGCAGGGTCTCTGAGCCACAGCTTGATGATGCCCGCTGACCTGCAGTGGACCAGTCACGGTCATGTCAGAAGGCAGTGGTCAAAGCTCGTTTTGCCTTGGTGGGGTGTCACTTGTTGGGCTGGGGCTTGAGGATCCTCCCAAAGGTCAGACAGAAGGCTTGATTTTATGGAAGGGAGATCGCACAATGCCATATTCGCCCACGGATTTTGCCTTCTGTGCTTTTGGTTGTCTGTGACCTCAAGGGACTTCAGTCTCTCACCGCATAGTCCCTCACGTAGAGCGAGCACTTTGAAAAGCTGGTGGCAGCAACTCCATGACCCGCCAGGTCAGAAACCACTGGGAATCGGCAACCCCACCTACTTCCTGGGGGTGCCTCGAGGAGACCGTGTGGGTTCACTGAGCCCCCTGCCTGCTCCGGAGATCTCTGGAGGAGGGGGCTGTGGGTGGCTCACTCGATCCTGTCCTCACCTGAGCTCTCAGGTCAGAGTCTTACATTCGTGTGTTGTGCAGGGTGGGGTTAAGGTCTCAGAGGTGCAGAGGGGAGAGAATAAAACTGTCCTGCAGTCAGCAAGGCCATGGTGAAATGCACCAGAGGTCATTGCTCCGACATTCCTGATGTCACCCCCCCCGGGGGAAAAGCACAGTCCGTTCCTTAGCTGGGGCCCAGAGGAAACCTTAAATGCTACAGCCCATTGCAGGTGTAAGTCCCTTAAGATTTCTTCCTCCCCCTTGTTAGGTTATTTGAGGTAGAGTTCATTTCCTTTCTGAGTTTTTGTTTTGTTTTTTTCATAACTGGTAATGAGAACACACTTTCTTTTATGGGATGGGTAGGCTTAACTGAAAGAGGATTTTTCCCTCTCCTGTGGCACTCCAGAGACGCAATCAGAAGACTTCCAGGGCTGGTGGAGAAGGTTTTTCCATGACCCATGGTCAGCCGTGAGGCCTCTCCTTCAAGGAGTTAGGGGCTTGTGGGCAAATGCAAGCTTGGGACGAGCTGGCATGATGGGAATGCCACGGTGGCTGAAGCCACGAGTCACTCCCTGACTTCCTTATTACAAGGAGGAGACCTGTCCTGTCCTGGGCTGGCTCTCAGCTTTTTTGGCTCGGACCCGTGCACGTTCTACCATGAAACGTTACACCCTTGAGGCAGGGGGCCAGTTGGTTTGTGTGCACTGCCAATAAATCCTGGAGAATCAGTCCTCCCTCCTTCATTGATGCAACCAATTTTTTTCTTGGCTTTTGTCCCCCCTTTTTTTTATTATGAAAAGCAATGTGAGAAAATATATGTGGGCCAAAAGCTACACCCTTTTAACACTTGATCACTGACAGCTTTCACTAGAACCTGAATTCTGGTGAGCCCCCCCGGATTCTTGGGGGGCATCGTCTCTCCCTCTACGGCCTTTCACGCTATGCCCGGGGTGTTTGAGGTGAGGGAGAGCTTCATCTACTGAGATAGCTGTGGGCTTTAATGGAGCCTGGGTTTGGCAGGGAAGGGAACTTAGCCACCAGGAGAGGGGAAGCCAGCAGGGTGTGGGCCGGGACCGGCCAGAGGAGAACCGCCCTGCACATGCGGTCGTACGGAGCTCCCATGGCCCCCGGGGCTTCGAACAAGGGGCCTGCCAAACCCACAGGCAGGATTCCCTTCACACTTGAAACTTTTCTTTCCGTGACATAGATGTGGGAGTTTAGAGGCTGCTTTAGTGTGCAAATCCCTTTCACAGTCTGGTGGCCTGAAATTGATTTCCGAGACGTAGAAAAAGCTGGTTTTGTTCAGTGAGAGGCTCCCATAGACGGCAACTTTACCCGTGGCCGTGATCGGATGTGTGCTGGGCAGGAGGAGGTAGTATGGCTGAGCAGCTGGGACGCGGGTCTGCGTGCCGCGGTTACGAGGTTCAGCTCTCACACTACCAGGCATGTGATTTGGGAGAAGTGACTCTACCTCCCTGAGCTGTAGCTTCCTTTCCTGGAAAAATGGGGACAACAGTGGGAACCACCCCTTCAGACTATTTGGAAATTGAGTCAAGGAAATGCTTAAAAGCACAGCATACAGTATGCTTATTAAGTCGCCCCTGTTGTTCTTAGCTGTTCTGATTTTATCTCACTTCTCGCTTGTTTTTGCCATGGGGCCAGAAGCTTAGAGAAATACGTCTGTGGTGTTTCTAAATCCACTGGAGTCAAGTGCCCTGTGTCTCTGGAAGAATTAAAGATCTAGAAGACAGGTTTAAACAACAAGTTAGGGGGCACCTGGGTGGCTTAGTTGGTTGAGCATCTGCCTTCGGCTCAGGCCATGATCCCAGAGTCCTGCTCTTGCTCTTGCTGAGCGGGAGCCTGCTTCTCCCTCTCCCACTCCCCCTGCTTGTATTCCCTCTCTCTCTCTCTGACAAATAAATAAATAAAAT